TGGCTAAATTTCTTGTTCCAAAGTTTCTCCAATTGCTCATCTTTGCACGGTTCTTCCTTTAATCTCACACACACGTATAATCACAAGGCGTTATAACGAACAGTCTTCACGTAACGTTCCTCGTTAGCAATACCACCGTTGTTATAATATCGTATTCGAAGTTGCATGAGTTTTAGTTAGGCTGAGATCATGAATTATTTTTAGAAAAAGACACACATTTTTTCATTGATTTCCCTACTCTCGAATAATAGAAAGTATAATGTTTATCGTATTTACTGTGTAGGAAGAAGTAAATCACGTTCTGAAACGACCACAGTACAAGTAAATAAAAATAAAATGTATTCGTGCGTAACAGTCACACTATTTACTTTCTCCTTGAAACGCACGATCTACCTCTATCTTTCGCTAACAAAAGCCATACCGGAAAATTGTAGCTCTCGAAGTCTCTAGGGATCGTCTGCTCGTATCGTCGCACTGCATCACCGACGTTCGACAGAAAGCGCTCGAATTGTTCTATCTCTGGGAAAATGTATCTTGAGCTTTACGTCTGTATTCAGTCTGTTTCCCGACAGAAACCTGTTACCATTTGCGAGGAATTAGTGATATTAACCTTCTCGATCCTCCGTAAATCTGTCACAAATCCCACGAGATTGACCAACATCAATATGCGAATTGGCCATGGATACACATAGATACATGAATACGTTCAAACATTGCGCGGAAGTTACAGCGCAAATAATGCTGGCGAGTAATAAGCGCGAACATGAAAACACATAAATAAATTACACTTGCTACTTAATTAATATAAAATGTTTTTTTTATTTTTTAACGAGCTACATTTTTTTTCTTTAAAGTAGTCGGATTATTAACATTATGACCTGAAAAGCTTCTAATGTATAATGTATTCACGCTGACACTTTTTGCTGGTGCTTGCAACGTAACAATATACAAAAGCTTTGAATATCACGGTGACGCGATGCGTTTCGTTGAGCATCAAGCTGTTCCACTGGTAATCTCCGGCCGTTTTTCAAAAACGCTTTCCGGGATTTAAGGGTAGTAAACGATTGCAGGATTTTTTTTTTTTTTGAAAATAGTAAAGTGCTTGGAAAATTGCAGTCAAAATAATTCAGAGAAATTCGCGCGAAATTGCGAACGCGGCTTGGGCGCAAGAAAAACGTATTTCCAATAAACCAGGCAGTCAACCATAAGCATTATTTACATTTTTCTCATTTTTTCTTTATAATACTTATATCTATTATCTATACATATTTATTCTGTCGATATTTACTAATATATATTTAATTTATTTATTCTAGTAAAAGAAATATAGTTGCATTTTCTGCATAATATCAAAAATTAATTAGAAATATAAATCGTCGATATTACATTTTGAATTTGCATCTATTTAATATTTTAAGTATTTTAATTTGTCCTTATTTTTTTTTAATTTTTATGTATTAAAATGTTTAATTGAGCATCCTTCGTAAATAATTAATGATTATATCAATGAGAAACATAAAGTTTCTTTTAATATTTTTTTAATGATAATTACTCGAATGTAATAGTATTTTAATTAAGATCACTAAATGCATAACGAGATTGGACTACTGAATGCTGCAACAAACGTACTTGGGGGGATTACCTATTCTTTATTTAAACGCAACTAATAGTCGAGCGCGGTCCGTAGTCGATGAGATCGTAAGAAAATACCGAAAGAAGTCGTCGCGAGTATTTCCGGGAGGATCAGAGTACTTAACGTGTTACAGCGAAAACTGTGAGAAACGGAAAAAGAACGACAAAGAGCTACAGTGGCGGAGAACAATACTAGGGGATGAGAGATGGAAGACGGTTAATGCGCATCCACTCCGTTACAGATAAATGGATTAGCTAGTTACGACGCGGAACGAAAAGTAAAAGAGCGTGTCGGACAGAGAAAATTCCATCGGGAAGGGTTAAGGGCTGATGAAAAACAAGGGACGAGAGGCTCGGTGATTTGACAGAACGTAAATACTAAGGAAGCTCGTTACCGCTTACGATAGCCATTCGTTCTAGTGTTCGATCAAATAAATGGTGTGTCTTTATATCTTTGGGCAAAACGGTTAAATATTAGTATCTTTTTGGCGTAACGAACTCAGTCTTACTATTTATCTTATTGATTGTGAGCATTATTTTTGGTATATAGCGCAATTAATAATTAATTGAATGTACGGCAGAATGGTATTTAAATGAAAAGCTGTTTCTAAATTTTGATGGTGTTTTTTGATTACTTTACTAACATTAATATGGATATTAATATTTTAATATAAACTTCAATTATGTTATTATGGTATAACAACTTATAAAGTATTAAATAAAATTCGTATAGTATTAGTATTCGTATAGTATTAGTATAGTATTAATTAGTGACGCTGGTTTTGAACCAACCTATTAGACATGATTTATTCTTAAATTTCTTTCATCGACAAGTTGCGCTTTTAATAATTATATTAGCTGTTAATCATAGCACATAATACTAGGTCAAATATTAACGAGACTGATTTTTTTGAAGTAGTATAAAAAGCATTTATTCAGAAATAATATACTTATTATTTTATATATTTCCCTTGGAGTTCGAGATATTTTTCCCAAATTTCTGGAAAACGAGAATGAGATTCAAATCAACCGAAATTTATGAAAGACTTAGAAAAACAGTTTACAATTGTTTTTTAAGATTTCAAGTGTTTAAGTGGTGTAATATGTTCAAACAGGAACGTGAACATATTGAAAATGAACCTCATTTGATGTTCGTGAACCTAGCATATCATTTTCCAGCAGATCAAAAATAAAAGAGAGTTCTTGTCGCATGCAGTCGAGTTCTATAGTTCCTTATAGTTTTTAGTGATAGTTCTGGTGATTTTATCAAAAAAAACACCAATCGAAAAAATGATCTGCTACGGAAA